TTATATATATATATATATATATATATATATGTTGTTTTTCTGTACAGTTTTGAAAACTATAAAAGCAATTCGGTGGTCGTATATCTTACAGATCTGATTATTTTATCTCCATGTATTATAAGGCGTTGGTGATAATTTTAGTTGTTAAAATGTACTTCACCTGGAACTGTTATCTAGTGATCCCTTAACCTATCCGGTAGAGTACTCGCCTGTTTCTTATTTGCACAGTATAAAATGTGACCTGTTAGAATTATTTGAACATGAAATAAACATTTGTATGTTAAAAGTACAATAATATTAACTTTTTTGTAAGGCAGTAAATAAAAAAATATTACGAATTCTCTTATAATATTTTCGTAGGTGTTGTCAAAAATTAATTCCTGACGTCTTTCTTGCAAAGTCAGATGTGTGTGTGTGTGTGTATTTATAAAAACATAAGAAATCGCATTAAGAGTTGGTTATCTCATCATTGTTAGATTATCAACAGAAGAAACACTAACTCTACCCTGTGATAATATATCTGGATCACGGTTCACTGTGTTGGAATTAATAAGAAATTTGTGTTTGTGAATTACCAGTACCTTGGTATTAAAGAGTAAGGTGGATGGTGAATTTACAATAAATAGAAGTTGTCTTCAGTTGTGACTTTGCAGTACTTAGGGCTTTATTTGGAATTGTTGGTTATAAATTGTCGGTACATTGTAGTTGACTTTTGGCGTAGATGATAACACATTTAGATTTAGTAATAGAAACTTATTAATATGAAACAAAACAGTTAACCATATTCAAAGATAATTTGTCTAAATACACAATTCTTTGATGAAGTAGCCGTGGTTCAATAAGAACTAGGAAGCTAAGTAACACGTTGCTTATTATGTTGTACCTGGTATCATTAATCTACCTTATAGTAACTTGGTGCATGTTTATACTATATTTTCATAAGTACCGTTAAGGTTTACACACGAAATCATAGCAAGATAAAGAAGCTCTTAATTTCATATCGAGTTCCCAGTTGGCGGGAAAGGAACGTACAGGAGGGCAGCTAGCATTCATTGACATGTTTATCAACATAAGAGGGGTAAATACTTTTTCCTGGAAGTTGCTGATCAAGTAATTAGGATTGTTTTCATGCCGGGTAGTGTAATATTATTTTATGTTCTTATCCCCTCACCGACTTTTCTCCAACTTTGTTGCAGAAGTGTGTAGTTTTTTGTCTAAAAGGATTGATTATAGCAGCCAAGTAGAAAGGTTGAGTTTGTAAAAGATCCATGTTTTGTGAGATTTAGTTGTGTGTTTCACAAACCTGTATTTATAAATTTGATGTAAGGATATTTTATTGTACAATACTCTAATCCAATTATATATCTCCCATATCTATCACTTATACGTATCATTTAGTCATGGTGAACATGATTTAGTTGTGTGTTTCACAAACCTGTATTTATAAATTTGATGTAAGGATATTTTATCGTACAATACTCTAATCCAATTATATCTCTACCATATCTATCACTTATAAGTATCATTTAGTCATGGTGAACATGATTTAGTTTTGTGTTTCACAAACCTGTATTTATAAATTTGATGTAAGGATATTTTATCGTACAATACTCTAATCCAATTATATCTCTACCATATCTATCACTTATACGTATCATTTAGTCATGGTGAACATGATTTAGTTGTGTGTTTCACAAACCTGTATTTATAAATTTGATAAAGGATATTTTATTGTACAATACTCTAATCCAATTATATATCTACCATATCTATCACTTATAAGTATCATTTAGTCATGGTGAACCAAACTTTACAATTATAATTAATTTTCTTTAAGAGATTGCATTACACTGTATTTTCTTTCTTCTCTTCATTTCATCTCAAATATTCAAGTCGTCAATTAAATGAATAGTGTTCATCTTCATTAAGTTATGTTACGTTCTCCAAGTTAGCCTACTTTGTTTGTCGTATCCCAGCTGGCCTGATGAGCCTTAGTATTGAGCGAAAGGCCTCCTCGGCAATGAATGTAGCGGATATAGTATGGTTGACATAATTTCATACATTCTTCTTTACTTTACTCATAAATTCTTAGAATTACCTACTACATAATCCTTGTTAACGTATTTTTGCGAGCTGTTAATTGCACCGTAAATTTATTTATCCAATTGATATTTTACTTACATTATGATTATCTCAGTAGTAACCAAACAGTAAATAATTTAGTGGGGTGGTCAGGATTCTATAAAGTCAGTGTAATGATCAGGTGCAGATTGAGGTTACATCCTCTGGTTCACTTTCTCTTACATATATTGAATATGTACAAGCACTAAACAAGTGAGAAAAAACAAAATTGCGCCTAGGCAGAATACTGCATCACACATCACAAAACTCCATTCTTGTACAGACCGTGTCCATTTGTGAATGAAATTCTAAGAAAAACCAAAAACTACAAAAAACGGAAGTATTTAGCAGCCAGATACATTTAAACAAAAGAGCCCATAAATTAACAGAGACAGAAGTTGGTACTTGTAATATTTTCAAAATTCCGAAGATTTTTATATTCATTTTCAACGTATAATCCAATTAGGAGTTAATCAAGATATAAATAAATTTTATAAACATACAAGTGTTAACTTCAATCTCGCGACTAAAAATCTTTTAAGCCTATATATTTTCACATGTACACATCTTCTTCTTCTTCTGTAGCTTTTCCCGGATCTATACGGGGTCGCTATTTTTGACAGCACGTTTCCACT